CTCTTGAAACAAAAAACAAAACCCAAAGTCATAACCTAGCCTGACCAGGATGTTGTTACAGTCCCTGAATCCTAAGTCAAAAGCACTAGGAGGAGACGAGTCAGCCATTTTGGAAAGACTGACATTCCCAGGTGCACACACACATTACCCCACACAGACGCTCACCCACAGGTAGGGTCCTGCGGAGATTACTAGAAAAATCCTTCTGAGGATCCAGAAGCCCCCTGGGCAGCACCCGAGGACAGAGCCAGAGGCCACATGGCAATTGCTGAACCAGCATTCTGCAAGTCAGCCTCTGCTGTCTGCACATGGTTTTTGACTGCCTTGGATTCAAGACAGCCTTGGCTCTCTTACCCCTAAAGTAAGGCTAAGTGGTAGACACCTCTTTGGCCTCTCTGATATCCAGATACCTGCTCAGACAGCCCCCTCCCATGTCAGGGGGTTGGGAGGAACCCAGCCCCAGTTACGATGTGATAGACGGCCCAGTGAAGCTTAAGCCAAAAGGAGTATCACCAAAGCACACATTCTCACCAACACCCAGCACAGGCACACCTCTCCAGAGACCCTGAAACCATGCAGTGAGGGACAGATGGGAGATTCCAAGGAGAGGGCATGGGCAAAGGAGGAAGGCAGGCCCTGACACAAGAGGCACTGTCTTTCGGCCTCTTCCTTGGCTCACTAGTGCATCCTCATTCTTGGGAATGCTTTTCCTTTGCTTTTTACATTTTTTTAAGTGTGTACATGTGTATGAGTGTGCACATGTGCCTGTGGGTGTCAGCAGAGGCTGGAAGAGTGTGTCAGATCCCCTAGAGCTCTAGCCTCAGGTAGCCGGTTGTGAGCCGCTGGAGGTAGGTGCTGGGGGCCCAACTCTGGTCCTTCACCAGAGCAGCAACTCCTACCTGCCCAGCCCCTACTTTTCCTTCCTCAAAAAAGCTATTTCTATTTCTAAATATGCTTTCCATTGTACTCGGCATTTTCTGTTTCTCTGACCTCCATGGCCAAGTCCTCTTCCCTGAAGAAAAGAGTCCCCTCCCCTCCATTGAGATGCACACTCTAAATGCTCAGCGTCCTAGGAAAGGGGCTATTTTCTTAACCACTGCAGGGATTTTTCTTCTATTCTCACTAAGGGTTCACAGCCTCTTGTTCCTAAAGAGATTACAGGAGACTTGTAGAAATATATGGGACACCACAAGAGGCCATGAGTCTAAAGCAGGAACCAAGCACCATGGAGTGAGAATTCTGAAAGTGAACTCTGATCACCTTGTGAACTTGCCACCCAGGGCCACAGACTTAGTCCAAGCATTCTAGACAGCAGTTCTCTACCTGTGGGTTGTGACCCCTTTGGGAGTTGAATGATCCTTTCACAGGAGTCACCTAAGATCACTGGAAAACACAAATTTTTTTTGTGTGTGTTTGTTTTTGTTTTTCGAGACAGGTTTTCTCTGGGTAGCTTTGGCGCCTTCCCTGGAACTTATTCTGTAGCCCAGGCTGGCCTCGAACTCACAGAGATCCGCCTGGCTCTGCCTCCCGAGTGCTGGGATTAAAGGCGTGCACCACCACCGCCTGGCAAAAAACACAAATATTTACATTAGAGTCATAACAGTAGCAAAATTACAGTTTTGAAAGCAATGAAAATAATTTTTTGGTTTGAGGTCACCACAATATGAGGAACTGTATTAAAGGGTCGCAGCATTAGGAAGGGTGAGAACCACTGTTCTAGAAGCTACTCATTTACATAATTTGGAGTTCAGGAGAGTCTATGCAAGAGTTGATGCAAACCAACTATTTCTGTGGTTCTGATAGATAAGAATACCTCTCTGGGGGACCTCACAGGGGAGGCACTGGGGCAGGGGGATACGATAAACAATGTCCTCAACGGCAGACACAATGTACCACTCAGTCACTGACTCCCAGGATGGACTCACAGCACATAAGCCAGAAGCACTAGGTGGGGTGGAATCCCCAAGTCCAGGGAGCTCCTCCGCTCCAGGGAATGTCTTGTATCTGGAGGCTTGGGGCGTGTGCCTCCCTG